TGGTAAAATAACGGCCCGGAAACTATTCACTTATTAAACGCTTGAAGATAGCCTCTATTTAACAAGTTGAGTGGACCGACTCGAAATACGCAACAATGATATACATTGTTCACGGACGAGAAGGAAAAAGTCCGTTTTAAAGTATGCTAATGTATTATCATCGGCCAACAGATATAACTTATCTGCGAGAACGACACTAAAGAAGCATTGAGTTCAAGGCACAAAAGTGGACACTTTAAAGGATACATGTTAGGTTCGAATGTTGAATGAATGTAACATCTTAAGACTGGGTTCTGAAATTTGAACAAGAAAACTAAAATATAAGGTGTTTATTTTCCTTAAGCTATTTACAAAAATAAAACCATGAATGCTAAATTTATAAAGTATTAATTATTTAAGAGCAACGCGAACACCTCAAAAATTTATATTTCATTCGAAGCCTTCATTTTTATAGCAGGGGCAGAAGTTGGAAAGGCTTTTGCCAGTTCTCCCACTCTATACACATAAATTGACAGGTTTTCGGCGGATCTAACCGAAGTCGACGCAATACATTGGCGTACAAAATTATTTTATAGATGTTAATAACAATTTTCGAGTAAATAGTTTAATAAATTGTGAATATTTGTTGAAATTTTGTAGAATTAAGATTTAGATATTACACTCACCGGCAGAATTAACCGCCCACCCAATTATTTTTATTTATTTCTGAAATTTTCGGAGATTTTCGTCACTTTTTAAAATTAATTGATATGACGTGACATTTTGACAATAAATAAATGTTTAACTGTCAGTGCTGTCATTCTTTCACTTTTTATTAGTAATTTGGTACCAATTTGGCTTGTTTAATGTTAGTGTATTTACAATTTTTTTCTTTATTAGACTTAATTAGATTTGTTTAGTGTTGGTGTATATTTTGTAAAATCGGTTTAAGTTAAGTTCAAACCAGTTTTATTTAAAACAATGCCATTGGGAGCAGAATCAGTAGCCAAGGCTGTAGTTCTATCTGATGAAGGTTATAGTCAACGTCGTATTGATGGAATACTTGGTGCTGCTCGTGAAACAATCAAAGATGCCATAAGGCTTTTTCGAGAGACAGGTTCTTACACCAGAAGGCCTGGTCAGGGCCGCCATCGCTGCACTTCAATGAGGGACGATCGTTTTGTTGTGAGCACGATTTTAAGAGATCGGTTCTGTACCGCTGTTGAAGCCCGTACTCGTCTTGCTGAGGTTAGAAATGTGGAGGTCCGCGAGAGAACCATAAGAAGGAGGTTGGCAGAAAGGAATGTTATAGCGAGACGCCCTTACCGAGCCCCTCAGCTTCGCACGCATCACAAAACAGATAGACTCCGTTTTGCGCGTGAAAACAGTATGTGGAATATGGATCAGTGGAAGAATGTTTTATTCTGTGATGAGAGCAGAATTGCTTTAAAATGTCCAGATGGCCGTCAGCGTGTATACAGACGTCCGACAGAGCGGTTTGCTCCTTGTGCTCTTATGGAAACTGTGGGTTATCAAGGAGGCTCAATAATGATATGGGGTGGAATTTCTTACGAGGCTCGTACGGATCTGGTAATTTTTGCTAGAGGCGGTGTAGATACTCACAGGTATGTTCAAGAACACGTCATTTCTTTTGCACCATATATTGGCGAGGACTTTGTTCTTCAGCAAGATAACGCACGATGTCATGTCGCTCGAGTGGTTACGCAATACCTTAACGAAGTTGGCATCAGAACTTTGCCATGGCAAGCACAGAGTCCAGACCTCAATCCAATTGAACACATTTGGGACAACCTTAAAAAAACGGATTCGAGCACGAAGAACAGCTACAACCACTATTCGAGAGCTAAAAACTGCTGCAGTGGAAGAATGGGAAAATATCCCACAAGCTGAGATTCAAGCCATCATGGATACTATTCCACGCAGGTTTAGTGATGTTATCAGGGCAAGAGGGGGTAACACTCGTTACTAAAGTGAATTTTGTTAATAACAATACTTTTTTGTCGATAAATTTCTTGTATTGCTCATCTTATTCAAACAGTTCAAAATTTTCAAAAACAGTTTTTCTTTTAATTTCTAAAATTTAACAAAAACTTTCATGTGATTGGTATTGTTTGCTTTTTCAAGATATACTAAGACATTAAAAAGTAAAAAAAAAAATCAAAATTACAAATATCTCCAACTAAATAACAAAACATTGGGTGGGTGGTTAATTCTGCCGGTGAGTGTATAATACATGTTTAATAATTATTTATAATCCATAAATACATGCGATTTTCCGGTTCCGCCGGTAACAATTTAAAATTACTTATTCTATGAAATGACACTGGCAGGTAAGCATTTCTGCGAAATTCTTGAGGCCGTTAGACGTGGTTTGACGTTTACCACCTCTCTACCTATCAAAAGCCTTTCCAATTTTCCCCCTGCTACAGACCGATTTTTGTGAAATTTTCAGGAAATACCAATAGTAAAAAACTTAAATTTTTTATAAACCTTGAAAAGTATTTACTTTGAAAATTTTTAAAGGAAACTTAAAAAAACATTTACACGTCATTATGTCAGTCAGCGACCTACAGATTTTTTGTTAAACATTTTTTAAAGCGCTCATTTGCACGCGCGCCTTGTTAATACTATTTACATTCTTTTATTGCTAAAATATTTGCTTTTCGAGTACATTGTACAACCAAAATTTCAACCCAATCAAAGTCGTATTGGAAATATTTTGAGAAACCTAAAAAAATTAAACAATTTAACACCTTGTATTTTTGAAACAAAGCATCTATAAACCCATGTTGAAACGAAACTATTTGTAAATAATAATGTTTAGATGATCATTTATGTATATATATTTTTTTTAGTAGGACTGTTCACTTACTTATGTTATCCCCATAACTTCATGGTTATATCCTGTAATTTTTTGATTTCTTCATGATCTAGGCATGTACAATCTCGTAAAGCACAAGATACCATTATGTCCTCAAGGTCTTTCAACTACCACTATACAAAAATGAAATGAATGCAACAAATACCGAAAAAATAAAAAACAGACCACAGAACTAGTAAATGTTAAAAATGACATTAGGATAGTAACAATATGGCACAGGTGATACTGCTTCAGTACACGTGTAGCGACTCCTGTCTCCACTATCTCTATGCTTTGGACCCATAGGTCTGTGGTTTGAACCTCACTACAACCAGTATTTGTTTCTAGTTAATAATAAAAAAAGCAGAGATAGAACACTAACTTTGATTTTGCTTGCCAAGGAGAATGTCATTGTTGGACAAGTCTTGTCCATACTAAAATTTTGCTGTTTTTATTTTTTTTATCTCTAGGTCACATTTGAGTTAGAAATTATTAATTAAAAAATAATTCTAATAATCTGGAAGGATTGGTCTTTTCACTGTTGTGTTCTCATTATGCTGTTCCTAAAGTTGTATTGCTAAACAAAGCCTACACATAATAATTAATGGCTAACATAAAGAAAGTATGCCATAATATCAAGATAAAAGACCAAGGAATATCATAATTACCAAACTCAAAACAATGAATAGACAAACTGGAACTTACTTTTTAAAAGTTTTAAAAAAATAAATCTTTTTATTCCAAGTGACTTTGTACAGGTAAGGAAAAAGTCAAAAGATGGTGCACAAATTTATGAAGTAGAAATAAAAAATAAGTACAAATAGTTATGAAATGGAAACTATAATTAAAAATCCAAGACAAAATAATTTATAATATAAAATGTAATTATATTTATGAAGAGAGCAATGCAAGAGAGCAATGCAAGAGAGCAATGCAAAATAATTAAGGATTCGGAAACAGTATAAAAAGCTTTTCTAGAAAATAAGTCCATTATTTTACGTTTAAAATATATATAATATAAACCAAGTACTTCCAGATAAGCCATCAGTATTTTGCATAATTTTGAGGAAGTTGTCCGTGAATAGCACAATCAAACAGATATTGATTCCAGTGGAGATGAAGCAGATTCTGATAAATACATTGTCAGTGAATACGATACAGATTCTTAAAAACTATTAATTAATCAACATATCATAAGATCCTATATCGTCTAATATCTTAAGAAAAAGAAAAAAGAATATCAGGAGAATTATGAACACACATTAGTCTAATATTGAATGTGGAAGTGTGCCTCAAAAAAAGGTAATAGAACCTATCACACGATTTTTAATTTAAAACAATATAAGAGTTTTTACAGTTTATTATATTCATTTGTAAGTAAAGGGTGGGACTTTTTTTACTTTTTACAAAACAAACACAATTTTTATTTTTTAGTAAGCTTTGTTTAAAAAAAATCAGCACATATTCTTTATTATTTTTATACCAGTTCCATTTTGATTTTTTCTAACAAAATGTGTAAACCTTGGTGTAAACATTTATTTCTTAATAAAAAATATTTGTTAAATTGCCTCTGGTAGACTCCACCTCAGTAGTTACTGACAAAAAGTTAATCGGCTCTTTATCTATGTATTTGCTTAATACCTAATTGTACTTAGTTATATTAGATTTAGCTATTATAAAAATATCTCTAGTAGTACCTAGCTCTGCCTAATGTTTTGTGGGGCAATAAAAATTATCACATTCTTTTTCTTTTAGATTTTGAGTCGAGCCTTACCACAGAGTAAACAGTTCTTTATATCTATTAAATATTAGCTCGAATATTAGTAAAAAGGCTATTTTACTTAAAAAAATAAATCTTTACCCAGCACATTTTTTCATAAACATAAAATCTCGAATATTTTCCATGAACCATGACATTTTTTCAAAAAAACTGACAAATTCTGCTTCAAATTTTTGTTTTTATAATTAATCAATGTCAGAAAACATTCAGAAAACCTAAGTATTGCTCAATTAAATTTGAATTAGAAAAACAAAAATTTCTGAAATTAAATTTTTGACCCCAATCGATTAGCAAATTCGTTTAAACAAACGAAAGGGTTGAATAACGATTAAAAAAAGAACTCATAAATAGATTACTAACCTTTCTGATCTAGGTGTCTCCAAATTTTTTTCACTTTCTGTTTCGCTTATCTTAGATTTAATATACTTGTAGTTCTCTAAATCTTTTGCATAATCGTTCACAGGTAACGGTGGTGGCTGCGTGTACTGATACTGCTGCTGGGGATAATTGTAATTATAACCAACGTTTTGAGGTGGTGCTCCGGTAGGAGGTGCAGTGTAAACTGCTGTAGGGGCTGTAGGAACGGGCGGTGGCGGATACGAGGGAACTACGGGGTAACTGTACTGGGCGTTAGGAGGATATTGCGATTGGGGCCAGTGAGAATAAGGGGGATTGTTCGGAGGAGGTGGGTACTGAGGATTGTATTGAGTATTCGGTGGTGGATAGCTATAGTACCATTGATCGCCCATAATTTAAGTAGAAATGTAGCGGAACATCATCTTAGCTTTATCTAGCTGTTTTGCCAAGCGAATTAAAAATCAATATATAATATAATGCTGAATTTTATAACACAACACAAAAACAAGAATTAGAATTGAAACTTCTTTTCTTTTATCTGTTTTTAATATTCTGTCAAACTGTCTATTTTGTGTCTCTTACTTGCTGCTTACGCAGTCAATGTTTGTTTTGTTTCATATTTGTGCTGCGTTTGAGAATCCACATCGGATGCATTTTTTACATCTCGAGCGTTTTTTTATCCACATCGGACACATCTGTCCCATTACATTTAGGGTCTATTTATACTCCCTTATTATTAGTATTTGCATTAGTATTATGATTAAGCATTAAGTTGAACCTTCACAATGTAATGGGGACATTTATACTCGATTTATGATTAGTATTAGCATTAATATGTATGCTTAATAATTGACAGGTTTAACTTTTAAATTAAATATTAAATTTCTTCTTTTCTATAAAAAGAATCAATGGGGTATTTGGCCTTTGTTTTTAATAGACCACGGATAAGGATAATTGACAATACACATATGATTATGTTGTTTATTTGTTTGTTCCAACAAGCTCGAAAACGATAATATTTCGGTACAAATCATGCTCTGTATACAATTTTTGTGTATCAGCAGTGTTTACCGATTATAAAGTTGACAAATGACATGTCACCATGAGGAAGCAAAGGCCTCTTTTCTGTCTGATTTGTATCAAATTTCTGCTTCTTTGTATCTGTTATAAATTTGAGACTTAAATCCGTTAAAATGTCCTTAATTAAAACTATTTTTGAATAATATTAACTAATTAACTAGTAAAAATATTAATAAAAACACATTTAAAACTCAAATATCTTAAAAGAACACAACCGGCCTCTTACACATTTCTTCAGTAACCATATATTTTGTTGACTGCAGAATTATATCTTATTAGGTATTAGGTTTAAAAAAGAATTACTAATACTAATTATAAAACGAGTATAAATACCTTTTTTGAATGATTTAACAAATTAAGGGTCTATTTATACTCCCTTAGTATTAGTATTTGTATTAGTATTATGATTAAGCATTAAATTTGTTAAATCATTAAAAAAAGGTATTTATACTCGTTTTATAATTAGTATTAGTAATTCTTTTTTAAACCTAATACCTAATAAGATATAATTCTGCAGTCAACAAAATATATGGTTACTGAAGAAATGTGTAAGAGGCCGGTTGTGTTCTTTTAAGATATTTGAGTTTTAAATGTGTTTTTATTAATAGTTTTACTAGTTAATTTTATTTAAAAATATTAATATTCAAAAATAGGTTTAATTAAGGACATTTTAACGGATTTAAGTCTCAAATTTATAACAGATAAAAAGAAGCAGAAATATGATACAAATCAGACAGAAAAGAGGCCTTTGCTTCCTCGTGGTGACATGTCATTTGTCAACTTTATAATCGGTAAACACTGCTGATACACAAAAATTGTATACATAGCATGATTTGTACCGAAATATTATCGTTTTCGAGCTTGTTGGAACAAACATATAAACAACATAATCATGTGTGTATTGTCAATTATCCTTATCCGTTGTCTATTAAAAACAAAGGCCAAATACGCCATTGATTCATTTTATAGAAAAGAAGAAATTTAATATTTAATTTAAAAGTTGAATCTGTCAATTATTAAGCATAAATATTAATGCTAATACTAATCATAAATCGAGTATAAATGTCCCCATTACATTGTGAAGGTTCAACTTAATGCTTAATCATAATACTAATGCAAATACTAATAATAAGGGAGTATAAATAGACCCTTAATGCTTAATCATAATACTAATACAAATACTAATACTAAGGGAGTATAAATAGACCCTTACGTATACTGAATCACGTGATCAAAGATTTTTTACATCTCAGATGCATCCGATGTGGATTCTCAAACGCAGCATTGGTATACCCAATGAACTGGAGTGGGGTAGAAAGCCAATGTGCATATTGTATCAATAGAACAAGATGCGACTCTATGGGCGCTGCCATTTTTATTTCTCATCTCACTCGGGAGTATTTATAATAACCATTTTCTGTTTCACATTGTTATTGTTCAATCCACAAGCTGGTGGATCAGACAATAACAAAGTGAAATAGAAAATGGTTGTAATAAGTACTCCCGAGTGAGATGAAAAATAACCTCTTTGCCCATAGAGTCGCATCTCAAGCCCATTGACAAGCACTCTACCCCACTCCAGTTCATTGTGTATGCCACAAGCACAGAATACTTTTAGAATATATAGTGGTTATTCTGTGCCACAAGTAGAAGTTGGAAAGACTTTTGGTAGGTAGGTAGAGACCAATGAAGTGGAGAGGGGTAGAATGATAACTGTCAATGAAAAAGTCTGGACTTTATGCACAATTTTGTTTTGCACATTTTGTAAACAAAATTCAGGGACGGTTTAACAACATTTTGTGCAACAATTATAAAATAGTGCATCGAAAAATAATTAACAATTATAATTTAATACTAAATCGGAAGAAAAGCATAAAAAATCATAAATATAAGCAAGATAACAAAGAATTGACGCCAAAAAAGCTTACAACAGCCAAAACACAAACAAAAAACAGAGCTGAACATGAACATAATCGCTGAATAAAGTCGATCCTGGAATTTGTTTACAGTGCTTTAGGGCAACCTCTCCTTGTCATTTACGTGTGTAAGAGTGGAAGGCTGAATCACGCATAATTTCTACACTCGTGATGGATGCGCAGACGGTACCTTATCGTTCTACCCTCTCTACTTCTTTGGTAGAGACCATTGATCTGGCAATGGTAGAGACTCAGATAAAAGGCATTTGTTTATAAGCTTACCACGACATATTTCGTATACAACGTCTTCGGTTACAACGTCTCTAAAGTTCTAGGTGGTTCTGGTGTTTAACTGGAATTTAGAGATTGATATTAGCAAATATGTAACTGTTATGTACATTTACGGATTTGTTACTACCCATCTCTAAATTCACGTGATAAAACCGAACTTCGATTTTCGTTCAAGGACGACTTACCCAAGTCCGACTCAGCTGAGTTTTGTTTATAAATACGGGCCTTGTGTTATGTGGACGGCTCACATAGGACGGCTTCGAGAATTTCGCAGTAATGTTTACCCATTGATCTGGCAACCTAGGGATACGACATAGACATCATATTATCTAAGATAGACTCGCCCTACACACTGTATACTCAATACACTTTCTGTCCGCATGTTTTACCAGACGGGGAAAGGGGAATCGTACGTCGCACATTGACGTAGTGTTTCGGGAGGGTTTACATATATTTTTAGTAAAAATTATTTAATGACCAAATCAATAACCTATGGGTCTTCGGAATCAAAGGTAAATTTAAAGAAAACATATTCAATTTATACAGGGCATTCAAAAGTCATTTTATATTTTTTCTTATAGATTAAAATAGTAAGGTAGCTCAAAGTGGAAGAACATTTTTGTTAGTATTTTATTATATATTTTTTAAATACATGAAGAGCAAAGAGCAAGTAAAAATATAAAGCCATTTATTATTATTTTTACATGGGTACTGTTTGAAAACCTTTATTACAGGTCGAAAAAAGAATAATTTATATTGCCGGACTACCTTTTTTTATGAAATAAAAAGCTATTAAAAACAGAACAATTTTATTTCAGATACATAAATATACAAATATGATCTTTCTATTACATACCATTTGGGTTGCATGTCACGACACCTATTTTTAGAATTATTTGTGTAATGATATAGGACAGTGATGAGCAATGATTTTATAATATCTGGACACGGCTAAAACACATTAGCTTAAGATTATCAAGAGATACTTTATTTCTAATTTGTCCGAATATAAAAAACACTAAAGGAAGCTTCTTTTGTGACATTTCGAATGTCATTTTACTATCAATGGTTACTCCTACAAACACTCTTGGTGAAGAATCTGCTCAATAGATTTATTTAGTGTTATAACTGATATTTTGTAAAGCATATTTTGGAATAAAATAGCTATTTGTGTATTAAGAACAGAAAGTAGCACCTTTGACAGTTGAGACAGAAAGTCTGTCGAAGAGAAAATATTTATTTTATATTTCTTCAAAAAGGAGGAAAAATACAATATCAAAACTGTTATCTCAGTTATGTAATCATCATTTTCAGTATTTGTGTTTTTCCAACTGACCATAGCAACTGACCATTATTTTGTAATTGAGATGAAAAACCATATGAAAAACCGTACGAGTCGCAGATATGTACGGTTTTTCACCTAATTTCACGGGTATAATCAGCTGTACTACATTAACAGCTAGGTATCTAGTACGGTTTTTAAGCTCAATGCGCTAGTTCAGTGTGATGTCATTTTGGTTCGACTGACATTTAATTCTAACCAAACTTTTAACAAAAACATCAATAAATTTGACATATACGTTTTTACTATTTTTATTTTATTTCAAAATATTGTTTACAGGTCATAAAATATTGTATATTTGATACATGCTATCTACTTACTTTAGGAATATATTTATAAAAGTGAAAAAAACGATATAATTTAGGTAAACAAAACGAACAAAACGGACTCCAAAAATCTACTGTCACTTTAATTGTCAGTGGAAAAATAATTACATCATCACTGAACTAGCGCATCGATGAAGAGACAAATTTTAAACGAAATGGCTTATTTTGAAATGTCAAATTTGAGACTTGTACGATTTTCGAACTCACTGGTTCAATTGCAGAACACTGTTTGCAGTGAATCTTTTTCTTTACTATAAAACCCGAAATATAAGCAACTACATCCTGAATGTATTCGCTCAGAAAATATATAGATAGGTAATCATGGTCACGAAGCTCATTTGTAAATTCCAAATTTTCTTTAGTGTCTGATTCGTAACATTTTAAATTTAACGCAATTTGGCTACTAGTGTTGCTACAATCGAAGATGCTGGTGCCATCTAAAGCAATTGCATTTGCAGTTTTATTTGACTTTACTTCATTATGAATTAATAATTTTGTATAACAATTTTGAAACAATCTCCATGTGAGATTGTTATTGAAGCATCTATTACGAACTGCACTAAAAAAAAGTATTATTTTTTTCTTCATTTTT